ATATCATCACACATGACGTTTAAAAGGTTAGTGGATTCCTTAAGACTTAAAGGAAAATTTCCTGATGGTAAGCATGATCGACAAAAAAAACAAAATACCAAAAACGAAGAAATTGAAAACCAAATATTTATGTATTTTGTCGAAAATCCACATTTTTCAATAAGGGAAGCTTCGGTATATTTTAATATTTCATACAGTCGTATACAGAGAATTTTGAAAAAACATAAATGGCATCCCTTCAAAATCACCTTAGTACAACAACTAAGAGTTGGTGATGCTGATAGAAGACTGAGTTTTATTCAATGGCTAATAAATAAAAAAGAATTAGAACCTTTAATATTTAATAGTATACTATGGACTGATGAATCAAAATTCATGACAAATGGAATCTTGAATCGTCATAATGCTCATTACTGGACCGATGAAAATCCTCATTGGATGAGAGAATCTAAATTTCAAACCTTTCATAGAGTAAATGTTTGGTGTGGGATTATTGGCGATGAATTAATAGGTCCATATTTTTACAATGGTTAGTATTTTTTTTTAATTTCAATAAAATATTAAAACTGACATGCTATGTAATATTTCTAATTAACTTTTTGTAATAAACTAATAGAAACACTAACTGCTCAAAAATATCTGGAGTTTCTTCAGAATACACTTCCAATACTACTAGAAAATGTACCACTAGCAACTCGTCAACATTTATATTTCCAACAAGATGGTTGTCCTGCACACAATGCTTATCTGATTAGAAATTATTTAAATGAAATGTTTCCTGGAAAATGGATTGGTACTCATAGTTATATACCTTGGCCGCCTAGAAGTCCAGATCTAACATGTTTATATTATTTTTTATGTGGATATTTAAAAAATAAGGTAGGTATTCAACATCAGAATTTTGTTGTCTTTGTTAGATACACTTGTAATATAAAAAAGTTGATTTAATTCAATTTTTAATGAAACGAGTTAGTTGATCGATTGCGATTACTTTTAGCTTCTAAAACTGCTGGTAATACAGGTGTTTCCAACGAAATAATTTCAATTCTTGAAGAATTGCGTGAAGCAGGCTTAATGAAACGTATTCCGAATGTCTAAACGAGATATCGCTGTCGAACTACACAAACCGGCTAGAAAAAATTTTACAAGACGAAGAGTTAACGCGTATGGTAAAACGATCTATGGCAAACCGATCTTGTGGAAATGATACCGTATTCGAAAAAAAATATAAGGAATATTCTATACGTCATAGACTGTTTTACAAAATTTGCGTGGGCAATAGCATTAAAATCTAAAACTGCTAAAGAAGTTTCAAACGCAATGTCTAAAACACTGCATAAACGCACACCAAAGCTATTACAGCTCGATAATGGTAAAGAATCTTACAATACTACATTCGATGCGTTAATGAAGAAACATAATATTCACAAATATTCTACGTATAGTACTAAGAAAGCTTGTATAGTGAAACGTTTCAACCGCACATTGAAAGAAAAAATGTTTAGAGAGTTTACGGCACGAGGTTCACACGAATGGATTTCTATTTTATCAATTTCATTGATTAACGAATATAATAATTCAAGACACAGGACAATAGGCATGACACTGGTGCAAGCTGATGCAGATCCAATGACAGTCAAAATTAAACAACGAAAAATTATTAACGGAAAAATTAAATTTAAAATCGGTGATAACGTTCGTATTAGTACACAAAAAAGCGTATTTGCAAAAGGCTATTTGCCGAGCTGGTCTACAGAAATATTTAAAATTGTTAAAATAAACCATACGATACCCACTACTTATCAATTGCAAGATTATACCAGTAAACTGATCGCTGGTTGCTTTTATTCCGAAGAATTATTGAAAACAAATTATTCAAACGACTATTTAGTTGAGAAAATTATACGCAAAAGGGGAAAAAAAATTTTTGTCTCAAATGGTTGGCTTTGATAGTACTCACAATAGTTGGATAAATACACATGATATTAGAAAATAACTTTAGTCGTGCTATAGACATGAACGTGTTTGGTGGTTCTCACTCTGGTGAAACAAATAAAATTATTTCAAATCTCGAACAGTCGATCAAATCGTATTCGAATAAACTCGTTAAAATTGAACATTTAGTCGAAGAAAATCATAAGTCTATTCAAATTCAAGAGAAACAAACGGAAAATTAGAAATAACGTGTATAGAAATAGCACGGCATCAAATAAGAGGTGGAGCATAGACGAAATTAAAAAAATAATTCCTGCTATACTAAGTCATCTTAATACTATTGAAACTTATTATAAAGACAAGCCATAATGTCTTCGGCCGTCTTGGACATGCAATGTGTAATTGACGTCAACAATAAATACATGATTAAAGAAATGTCTATAGTAGGTAGACACAGAAACATGGGCGACTAAACACTGGATTTTTAAACATTCAAAATCCATGGAGGATAACAAGAGTCATAAAACCAACAAGTGGCTGGAACTACCTATAGAATATGGTGATGTCGAGTACGAAGAAGTCGGTAAAATATTGAATTCATTAAAGTTCACCTGCATTTACGTCAAAGGCGAACAGAAAAAACAAGTTCTAATGGAATATATACCACATGTAGGACTCGTCAACATTGAAGACATAGGCTGTCCTCGTTAGAATCAAATATATGATGACGAAACTTTACCTTGTTGTATTTTTCATATGGAGTATAATCCAAAACAATGTACATTTTATAAAGTAATTGCTATAAGAAAATGGTTAATAAATAATTCTTAAAAATATAATAATAAACAGTATAAATTAATATAAATAAGAAAAAAAGTTAATAATTTAAAATTAAATCTATTTAGAAATGTCAAAAGTTTAATTGTAATTGAATGTCGAATATTAATTCTTAAAAAATAAGTAATTATTATTATAAAAAAAAAAAAAATTTTAATATTATCTAGCAATCATTGCCTCAGCTTAAGTTAAATTAGGTTCATGTGTTTCATGATGTTTTGATAAAAAGAATATAATTTAATATTAAAATAATTTTTTTTTTAGCAAATGTTAAATATCTAAACAAAATTATCAACAGTCTTAACCCGTCATTACTCGCGTGTGAGAATTTTCCTCACATTGTTTTTAAGATGTGACTAGCTTGCTCATAGTAGGGGCATAGCGAACCCATTTTTTTAGGGGGAAACTAAGTCAATTTAATTATATTAATTGTTTAATATTTAAAATTTTATAATCATGAACTTAACTGTATATTATAGGTAAATTATAACTTATAAAACAATATTACAATTATATAGAAACTTAAAATTCTGTACTTTCAAACGTAAATAATAATTTCTACAGAAATGTTTTTTACTATTTTGTTGTGATTTATTAAGTATAAATTATAGGATCTTAAAATATCCCACTTTAAAGTAAAGCTATTAATTTGATCAATTTATTTTACGTAGGTATATTGATGTATAGCTTATAAGTACATAGCACCGATTTTTATGCAGTAATATGTATCGAAATATGTCATATACTATACCGTAAAAATCATGAAAATATGCAAGAAAATTTTTGTATTTATTTAAAATTCACGAATTAAACAACTTATAATAATTAATAACTTAATGAAAAATGCTCGCTTTGATATGCAACACATTTTGAATTTTATAAAAATATGCAATAACCATTAATTGCAGTTATATGCAAAATGAAAATTTTACCATTAGATTCAAATTATTATAATTCGTGAAGATGATTGACAAAAATCCAAAAAAGTGAAAAAGGAAAATAATATGCGATTGCGTAGGAATCCGTGCTCTTTTTATAAGCTAACAAAAATAATTTATAATAAACTATTAAAATAAATTTTTAATAATATAGTATGACGTGTTTTTACCCAAAATTAGTTCAAATCTTGATTATAAATATTAAAATTTAAAATCAATGGTTTAAACTATTCTAAAAATTGTAAAATATTTCCTAAGGAGACTGACACATTGTTTGCACTCAAAATCGTTTTTGGCGCCTATGCAATAATTTATGACCAAACTTAAATTAAAAACATCCATTGGCATTATAGCAATATATACAATGACGACTATTTACAAGACATAATAAACCAATTATACAAAACAATATATTTTCGTTTTTATTTTTTAGTTTTAAAAATCTTTTCTTATTATCATTTATTAATAACACTTTTTATTTTTAAAGCAGGAAAAAAATCAAAATGATTTTAGAAAATAAAAATATTTTTGAAAATGTTGAACGACATCAATCGGATATGGCTAGAATTCAAATATTAAGCAAAAATAAACTACAAATCGAAATCGATCAGAGGAATAAGCAATTAGCTCGAAGTACCAATTATACATCTAAATAGTTCATAAAATTGAGATTCATTATAATATACTAATTCTATTATTTTAATATTAGATCATAATTTTTTTATTTGGAAACGAAATAAATGTTTACAACGAAACGCTTAAATATATGAAAGTATTGATAAAAATAAATCTAGTGGATATTCTTCATTCTTTCAAAGCCAACAAAATAAGCGAGTTGTAAACACATAATAAATAAGCTATATGTTAATTAAATATAGCATTAAAATTATATTTAAATACTTAAAACGATTTTCAGATTCACAAACCACACAAAATACGTTTTCAAAGAGATTTCCACGACTATCAACACATGAGGATTATCAAGACCTACCTTTAAAAATTCAAAAAACATTGATTAATGGTAAAATTACGAATACACTTTTAGATATAATTGAAACGAGGACGGACAACCAATGTGGTGATGAAAGATATCACACACCGCTGACTAAACAATTTTACGATTCAAAATATTATGACAAATATATTAATACGAAAAATAATGCCAACTTTACACTAATTACAAATAAAGGTAAAATTAATCTAGTTTAATACAGGTAAAACAAATATTGGTAGTTACTTTATTTTGATATTAATTTAAAGATACAAGATTTAAATCAAAAACACTTAATTCAAAATCACAAAAAAAACATAAAGTCATAGACGAAAATCGTAAAAAATATCAACTTGATGATGGAGGCATGTTTACCGAATTAGACAAAAGCGTGGCATTATTTCAAAAACTATTGCGAGGAAGAGCTTATCAAACTATGGTTAAAATAAAAACTTAATAATAATAGTAAATTGTGGTATTAATGATAATTTATTATAGATTATGATGGCAAAAATCAGATATCAACCAATTTTACACTCGGATGAAGCACCAGAGACACTCGATAATACAAAAGTATAATTATCAACAAATATTATTTAAATTAATAATCATAGCAAAGTATTTAATAATAAATGTACCTTCTTACAGAAAACTAAAGAAATTACAAGTGTTGATATATTAGAATATTCAAGAAATAAATATATTAGTAGATTTTTCGACATTCTTTCTAACGAATCAATTCATATTAAACACAGTGAAAATCAAAACAAAATGTTGATTCAACAAGGAAATTTGAGTAGAAATGCGAATGAAATGATAGAGAAAAAAAAAGATGTATGGAAATAACCGGACGCCTTGAACAAGATGAAATATTAAAACTTGTGATTAATACACAAAATTATATATCTATTTTTAAAAAAAAGTCAACATATATGAGTATATTTTATACTAATTTATTTTGAGGAAAACAGATTTTCCAAAATATATGATTTGGTTGTTTCAAGATATTTTAAATAAAATAAAAATAAATGAACAGTTTTAATGATAAAATTATCAAATAAAACATTAAGGCATTTTTAAATGTTTAAAATTATAAAAATTATTGGCTTTATGCTATAATATTCATGATAACATAAAAT